TGTGGGTAATGCATGAGAAGTTGTAATGTTTCTCTTGTTGAGAATCAAGTGTGAGGAAGAAGTCCCACATTGATTATAAAAGGGAAGATTGAGCACTTATAAGTGGGAGAACCCACTCATCTATAACCTTAAGGTTTTAGATGGACAAGTGGTGTGTCTCTCACAAATTCTGTGATTACAATAAATTGACTTACTTGACTTGCTTACAAAAAATAGGGGTTACTCCCTCTATTTATAACTGAGCTTACACCCTAAGCCCAAAGCCCAAAATATCTTTTTGTTACTAAATCAAATCAAATCAAATCTATTCTGGACTTAAATCAAATCTATTTAAATCTAAAATAAATCAAATCTTCTTTGACACTATGAATTACAATTTAACACACCACCTAATTCATTGTGTCTAAACTGTCTATGTTCATCATGGCTCTTAGCTTTCTGAATACTTTGACTTGCACTCCCTTCGTCATGATGTCTGCAATCTGATTCTCAGTTCTTCAGTGTTCCAAATTCATCTTCCCATCTGCTACCTGCTCTCGAAGATAATGGAATCTCATTTCGATGTTCTTACTTCGACCATGTGCTATTGGGTTCTTTGCCAGATTAATAGTCGACATGCTGTCTATCTTCATGGTAATTGCTCCATGATTTTTCCCTGTTATCTCTTCGACCAAGTTCACCATCCAAGTTGCTTGACATGCACAAAGAGAAGCAGCTATGTATTCTGCTTCGCATGATTATAATGCCACTACTGGTTCCTTTCTTGAATTCCAAGAAATTGGTGCACCACCTAGCATAAACACATATCCTACTGTTGACTTTCGATCTTCAGCATCACTATACCAACTCGAATCAGTGTATCCCACTAACTTGCATTCTTTTCCTTTATCAACTGCAGGAAACAAAATGCCATAATCGAAAGTTCCTTTGAGATACCTTAGTATCCTCTTCACTGCTGCTAGATGTGATACCTTTGGCTTTTGCATAAATCTACTTACCATACCTACACTGTATGCTAAGTCAGGCCTTGTATGACAAAGATATCTTAATGATCCAATAAGTCTTCTGTATTGGGTTGGATCAACATCATCTTCATCTGCATCTTTCGACAGTTGCAGTCTTGGTTCTGCAGGTGTCGAAGTTGAGTTGCATTCTTCCATCTCAAACCTCTTGAGAATTTCTCCTGCATATCTTCTTTGATGCATCATCAAACCTATACTGCTCTTGTAGAATTCGATACCAAGGAAATATGAAATCTCACCCAAATCAGACATTTCGAATTCCTTGCTGAGATCACCTTTGAAGTCTTCGATCTCACTTTTACAGATACCTGTTATCAACAAATCATCTATATAGAGACATAGTATAAGCAATTTACTCTTACTTTTTCTTACATATACTCCATGTTCAGTTGTGCACTTCACAAATTCCTTCTCCCTTAGAAAACTATCAATTTTCTTATTCCAAGCCCTTGGAGCTTGTTTCAATCCATACAGGGCTTTATGTAGCCTGTACACCTTTCTTTCTTTGTCATGTTTCACAAACCCAACTGGTTGTTTAACATAGACTTCTTCATCCAAGGGTCCATTTAGGAATGCACACTTCACGTCCATCTGACATATGTGCCAACTGTTTATTTCTTCTAGACCAACAACCAACCTGATTGTTTCGATCATAGCAACAGGTGCAAAAACTTCGTCGAAGTCTATTCCTTCTTTCTGTAGAAATCCTTTCGCCACAAGTCTTGCTTTGTGTCGAGTTACTTCACCTTTCGAATTCGTTTTCACTTTGTATACCCACTTGACATCAATTGCCTTCTTGCCTTGAGGCAATTCGACAAGTGACCAAGTGTTGTTGTCTTCGATAGACTTTACTTCTTCGTTCATTGCTTTCACCCACTTCGAATCTTTTAATGCTTCAGCTGCATTAACATGTTCGACATCTGCATAGAAAGCATAATGTACCAGCTCACATTCATTATCTATTACATCATCTGATGTAATCACACAATCTTGCAATCTTGCAGGCATGCGTCATATTCTTTGAGGTCTGCTTGTACTTAGTATATCTGTTGGTTCCTCTGGTCGAACTTCTCTTTTGACTTGAGTTTCTGGCTCTTCGAATAGGATTCCCACTGAATCTTTCTTGACATTTGCAGTCCAATCCCATTCTTTAAACTCATCTATGATCACGTCCATGTTGATCACAATCTTCTTGTTCTCTGGATCGAACAACTTGTAGCCTCCTGTCGAATGATATCCAACTAGGATCATTTAACTTGACTTGTCATCAAGTTTTCTTCTCAACTGATTTGGAACATGTCTATGTGCAATAGATCCAAATACCTTCAGATGACTCAAGCTAGGCTTCACACCAGACCAACATTCTTCTGGAGTAATTCCTTCTAGCTTCTTTGTAGGACATCTGTTCAAAATGTATGTTGCAGTCGAAACAGCTTCACCCCAAAACTCTTTAGGTAAACTCTTGCCTTTCAACATACTTCTCACCATATTCATGATGGTTCGATTTTTCCTTTCTGCAATTCCATTTTGTTGTGGATTATAGGGTGGCACCACCTCATACACAATCCCTTCCTTTTCACATTATTTGTCGAAGTCTTTCGACACATATTCTCCACCACCATCAGTTCTCAAAACTTTGAGCTTTCGACCACTTTGTCTTTCGACCATAGACTTAAACCTGGTAAATACTTCGATCACTTCACTTTTCTTCTTGATCAGGTAAGTCCATAGCTTTCGACTGAAATCATCTATGAATGTAACAAAGTATTTGTTACCTCCCATTGAATCCACCTGGATTGGTCTACATACATCAGAGTATATGACTTCAAGACTAGCCTTCGATCTTCTTCCTGCATCCTTGCTGAAGCTATTCTTGTGTTGCTTCGCCTGCACACATTCCTCATATACCTCGTTTGGAATGTCAATTTCTGGCAATCCTGAAACCATATTTCTTCTCTTCAAATCTCTGATGTCTCTGAAGTTGAGATGACCTAGTCTATAATGTAATATATATTCATCTCTGCTAGCTGCAGTCGAAAGGCACTTGTGCTCCATCACATTTAGTTCAATTTTGAAGGTTCGATTCTGAGACATAGGAGCCTTCAAGATTACTCTCCCATTTGTATCAACGACTCTCATCAACTTATCTTCGATTGACACTTTATAATTCTTTTCGACCAACTGCCCTATACTGAGCAAATTGCTCTTCATGCCTGGTATGTACAACACATTGGAGATTACTGACCTTTTGCCATCTTTCCTCATAATCATAACATCACCAATACCTTCAGCTGCCAGGGTATTGTCATTTGCAAATTTTGCCATATTTTTCTTTGAGGGCTTTATATTGACAAACCAGTCTTTCCTTCCAGACATATGTGATGAACATCCTGAATCCAAGTACCATTGGTCCTTGAATCTATCTTCATCTCTTGTTGTGAACATCATCATCATCTCTTCTTCTTCATGTTTTGCAAGTTTTGCATCACTTTCTTGATTCTTTCGTTTTTCTGGACAATCACTCAAATAGTGTCCATATTTCTGACAATTGTAAGATTGAATGTGACTCTTATCAGGTTTTCGACCACCACCTCTTCCTCTATTTGCAACACCACCTCTTTGGTTGCCTTGGTATGGTCTTCTTTGATTCGACACGTCTCCTTCGATTTGGTTTCTTCTACCATTCGATTTGTTGTAGCCACCTCTACCTCTGTCGAAACACTTTCCTTTGCCTTTGGTCTCTTTTGCTGAATGTGCCTGCAAGGCCACATCACTCTTCGATTTTCCTGCATCTCTTTCGTTCATTCTTTGTTCATGAGATTCAAGCGTCCCTTGAAGCTCTTCCTTTGTCAATTTCGACAAGTCTTTCCCCTCTTCTATCGCCACCACTATGTGGTCGAACTTAGGAGCTAAAGATCTCAAGATCTTTGACACAACAACTCTTGTTGTTAACGCTTCTCCACATATCTTGATTTGATTTACTAGTTTTGTAACTCTAGTGAAGAAATCAGATATGTTTTCATTGTCTTCCATCTGAAGCAGTTCATAGGTCCTTTTGTGAGTTTGTAACCTCACTTCTTTCACCTTCTCAGTGCCTCCAAAAGACTTCTCAAGGATCTCTCAAGCTTCTTTTGCAGATTCTGAATCACTAACCTTTTCGAAATTGTCTGGGCTGACACATTGATGAATTATAAATAATGCTTTATAACTCAGCTTCTCGGATTCTGTGTATTTCTTCTTTTCTTCTTCTGAAGTGTTTTCGCCAAGCGCTTCGACTCCATCTTTTACAAGGTCCCAAAGACCTTGACACCTGAATAAGACTTTCATCTGTTTGCACCAATTCTCATAGTTGTCAACTTTCAGAATTGGTAGCGTTGCTGGATAGTTTGCATTCCCATAACTTGTTATTGTGAATTCTTCAATTGTTCTTGATTGACACTTCCCTTGAATCGAGATAGGGACCGACTTACTTGTATCAAGCGGTGATACAAGTGTATGTGGAAGAGAGTCATTCCACATGAGGGGGAGCATTGTAACTCACACTTGAGGGGGAGTGTTGAGAATCAAGTGTGAGGAAGAAGTCCCACATTGATTATAAAAGGGAAGATTGAGCACTTATAAGTGGGAGAACTCACTCATCTATAACCTTAAGATTTTAGATGGACAAGTGGTGTGTCTCTCACAAAGGTGTGTCCCAAGTAAAATGTTCTCTCCTCGAAATTCCCCTTACATCTCTTCAGTTCTATTAGATATGTTTGTTTTACCTTTTTTTTTACTCTGATGTAACAAAAAATAACAAGATTCATTTTGCCAATATTTAAAATAAATAAAAAACAGACGTTAAATTAGTTTCGGTAATACCAATTTCAACCAAAGAGACTAAAACCACATAGAAAACATTCAACAACAAAAATTAAATAGTCCTCAACCACAACATTGAACCTTTATTTGACAATATCCAAGATTTTGATAATATCATCATAGTTTGGAACTAGAGATCATCTCCAAATCCTCATAAAACAACTTCTTCAAAGCATCTATATGAGAAGGTTGCAAACAAGTAGTCACAACAAAACCATCACCATTTGCATCATCAAGAACAAAAGCCTTACCAATACCATCAGAGTTAACAAACCCAGGAACCAAACAATCAGGTTTCCCCCACCCAAAATCAGTCTCATAAAACGGAAAATTACTCCAACCAACAACATACAAATTCGGGTCACCACCCATTAGTACATTTCTTCTATCAAACTTGTAAAACTTGTCCCTTAACAAACTCATATCTTTCTGATTTCCAACATAGTCAAGAGCAGATCTTACATACTCATCATTCACCTTCTCAATAGCTTCCCTCACTTTCCCAACCACGTAACATAAAGGCTTGTGAACAATATCATCAAATGAACAAACTTGTGTCACTGTTGGAAATGTTGCATTCCCAAAGTATTTCTTAGGAAGAGGTGGATTCAACCTGTTTCTACAATTAACTGAAGTTGTTAACCTTGTTGGTTGGTTCCAATTTCCTTGAAAACGCACTTTGCAAACACATCTCCATAAGTAACCACTAATAATCTCAAAACTAGTATAACCTCGTACCTTGTTCTTGAGTTTGTTAACTTGGTTTTTTGTCAGCTTTAACGTGGTTGTTGCATATAGTGGTAACAAGTTATTACTATTACACCCTTCCCAAAGGGGTGGTGGAGAAAACTCATGATGTTGAAAACGTGGTGGTAAATGAAGGCTTTTGGAATCTAAGTGAGATGGATTTATAAAAGGGATCAAACTAGAATCTAAATTCTTTCCTTTAGCAAGATTTGCCCATGAGGTAACGAAATTAACAGACGAGAAACCATCGAGAATAGGACGACAAAGAGCAAGACCAAGGGTGAGAGAGCCACAAGGGAACTTGGTGAGTTGAACAACCAACAAAGGAACATGTTGAATTGGAACATCATAGTTAACTTTTGGGAGTAGTTTTTGGACAACATGGTTGGAATCGAAATTATTAGCAAATAAATGGTTTAAAGTGAGATGACACGTGGCCTCAAAGAAGTGTGCACCCTTGTTGTTGCAATGAAGTTGGAAGTGGTTTGTTCCTTTGACCAAGTTTAATCGACCTGCGAAGGGATAGTAGTGGTTGAGTGTTTTGGAGAGACTGGTAATGAGAATGTTTGTTGAAGGATGAAGTTTGGTTTTGGTAAAGAGATAAAGCTGGGATGCATGATTTGAGAGCTTGATTTGATCGCAGAGGGAAAGAGAGAGTGTGGTGGTTGGTGTTGTTTCAGAAGGTGTCACTGTGTATGAACGGTCGATGCTAACCATTTTATTTCTCTTGTTGGTATTTTTTTGGTGTGGTTACTAACTACTAGTAATACTTTAAAAGAGTTGAAGCGATCAGTCACATGTTGTTGCATATCTTTGAGATTTTTTTCTTGTCAAGAAAGCACCAACACACAAGTTTTAGCAGGCCTTTCACGTTTTCTTCTGTTCACCATCCTGGTACGTTTATTATCAAGTCATTTTCATTAAAGGTGAATTGGGTGAAGTCTTTGAATTGTGTGGTCAAGAAACTTCCACTTTGGCTTTAGTACATGGGTGTTTGCTGGTCCGGTTTAAATCGGTTTTGAGATAAAAACTCATTCGATCCAATGATATAAAGAGCATGTAGTTTAGTTCAGTCTTTGGATGACTAAAAAATAAATCCGATTCAATCCGATCTAATTTATGCAGTTTACTTCGATTCGATTGGTTTGGTATTATTTGGTTTTTAAAACAAAAATTGCATAAATATTTTTAAATCATTGAAAATTTTATTTTAATTAGAACTGACTAAAATTATAAAAAATAAATTAAGTATTTTTTGTTTTAACAAACAAAAGGAAATTAGTCAATAATTATATAATTTGCATCATTTAAAAATAGTGTATCTATTGAAATAATTATATAGAATGTTGTCGGTGGGTTGAGAAAAACGAATTGAAATAAGAGAGAACGATTTAAATAAGATTGAAGACTCATTGAAGCAGGAGATGAAATGAAATGACGTTGGCGGTGATTTGTGTGGCTACAGAAACATGTTTTTCAATAAAATGACATTCATTATATTTAATATTTATTATATTTTGGGGAAGAATGAGATTATTCCAAACAAAATGTAAAATATGCAAAGGTTTAAGCAAAAATATTTTTTTCAATAAAATTTATTATATGATGAACATGTTTTTAATTATGGGTATACACCACATCCACATAACCCATATTTATCATCTCATTATTCATACTATAGCGGTAGAAATATTGAGACTAAGCCATTGGATTGATTTGACTCGCACAGATCAAATTAAAAATCATCACCGCGCTTTATTGTTTCCAGAGAAATGAGAAAAGAGCGAGTAACTCAAAAGAGGGGGGGGGGGGGAGAATCTAAGTTCGGGGGTTGGTTATGCAAAGAGAATGTATTAGCACCCTGAACATCTACGGTATACTGCAGGAACCTCTTTGAAAATTCGTGTATTTTGGCTATAAATGTTGTATAAAAAAAATAGATGGTGGAGATGAGGAAAGAAGTATTTTTTATAATTTTTGCACCCGCCGCAGTTGCAAACCTTTAGTGCCTACGTACCACCTTCCGTGCAATAGGGGATCAGGATACTCGTAGTTCACCTTTAAAATTTTTAAAACACAAGTTTATTGATTAATTTTAAGAGACGAAACATCATCGTCTTATCCGAGTGGAAGAGCATACTTACTATCCACAATTATGAGAAAGGAGAATTTGCGTCATCTCAAAGTGAAAGATATGGCTTGGATTTTAAAATCAACAAAGCCTCGCTCAACACTCAAGTGGAAAATATCTCACTGCACTACATATCGTAGAAGTATAGTAGCTCGCATCACTACAAGGATTGGTAAGAGTCTATCTTTTGAGAAATTTTTTAAGCAAAAGTCAAAGTGGCTAAGATGGTTTGAATGAGATTGATTGACTTTTAGTCTTCTCACAAAAAATGTCAAAGAATTATTAAGTTGTTTAAAATTTGATTAAGAAAATATTTTTGAAAATACATGGACTAAGTCCAAGTTTATTATGAAAGTCGTTCAAGTTTGAAAAATAAGAATAGTTTTGAAAAGGAGGGAGAATATTTTTGAAATTAAAGAAGGTGGGAGGAGATGAAGGGACTATCCTAAAGCATAAGTTAAAAGTTAAGGAAAAGAACCGTCTAACCAATAAGAAGTCAACACTTGACACAATGAGTCAATGTAGAATTCACATCCTTTGGATTTGAAACCAAACAAGCAAAGATAATAAAACCTCTTAAGAAAATCAAGCTTCAAAGGCATTAAGTCTTCACAAAAATTAGGCAGGGTAACGGCTGTATAAAGATGAATTCTCAATCACAGACAAAGCACATAATGAGAATAACCTATACACAAAGAAAACAAACAACCCAATATCTTGGGGTAAACTCCAAGAAATCCAGACAAAATTGCAATAGAAGTCACAAGGTCTCAAGGTAGGTCAAGGTCTCTAATCCTAAGTCCAAGAAATCCATGACTCCAAAATGCCAAGGATAGTAACCAAATAGTCCAAGTAACATTAAAGTTTTTTATGGTTCAAGTTGATTATTAGGTATCTTCAAAAAGAAATGAAAAGCTCAAGTGAGCAAAATAAAAATTACATAAACATAAATGATCAAGTGAGCAAAGATGAAAATATCATGAAATGAAAATGCTAAAATAAATGTGCTTAAAGTAAAAAAACATAAAGTAAAAGCATAAAATAAAGTCAATTGTTAGAAATTAGAGGTTACTTGAATGACCATCTTGAAACTTGCATTTGAAAACTCATTAGAAGATTGATAAAATCAAAGCCTCTCAACAATAAGTTTCATTTGTTTTTTTTTCAAGTATATCATTTATTTCAAATCTCAAGGCAACAAAAAATGATCAATGATGTTTAAATGATTCACTTAGTTCCAAAATTTATGAAGATTCATTAGAGGATTGATAAGACCAAAGCCTCCTAACAATGGACCTCAAGGTTATTGGATTAAAGGTTTCAAATTAAATATGCTTGGGCTTGAAAACATAGGTTTGGTCCACAAATGATCATTTCTTGAATCGGGATAAAATTTAGCGCTATGTTAAGCAATCGTAAGTGGACTTATATAGAAGTCGCACATATTTTGTGACCGGTCAATAGAAATCTATGTTTCATATGTTTGGAGTGATAATATGTAGATCATCCTTGTTGTACCCCAAAATTTGTTCTCCCATATTTCTCAAAACATTTCAAGAAAGATCCACAAGTTGCTCAAGGAAGTCCAAGGGTTGACCAGACAAGCTCTCTCCTGAGGCAGTCTACCTCAAATTAGGGTTTTATGTTGCATCAAGATACTTGAGTCCAAGGGATCCAAAATTCTCACCATTGTCCTAATATGTTCTCAATATCATCCATGTCAAGTTTCAAGACTTACAAAGGAAGTTTGCTCAGTCAATTGCTCAAAGGCCTGAAAATCGACTGTGCTAGGGCAAAAGTCAATTGTGGCCCATATACAGTCAAACTTCAAGATTTTTGGTCAACATCCTCATTTTGAAGTATATTTCATCATTTGATCAAGGGTTTATCATGATTCATCAAGGATTGCTCATAATTCATCAAGAATCAAAAGTTGCTAAATTAGGGTTTTGCAAGAAAAGTCAACTCAACTTTGACCAAGCATAACTTTCTCATACTTTATGAGAAATGACCCATACAAAGCTCATTTTTAATAGGATGACATGTTCTACAATCCATCTCGAGCTCCCAAGTTCAAAATATGCACTCACAAGAAGTTATGAATTTGGATATTATAGGTCATTTTGAAAAGTCAACAAAAACACCTCTTTTGTCAAAGCTTCATACATGAGCATGGAATATAAAATTAAGATGAGACCAAAAGGGTTGCTTAGTGGACATCTCAAGCTTTCTAAAAAATCCAAGAACACCTTCAAAGAGTCAAAATTGAGGAAGTTATGCATTGGTGAAGTTGACCCTTTTTGCAAAATTGCCAAAAGTCAATTATGCCTCAAATTGCAATTTTTGCCAAATGGGCCCAATCTTTTGCACTTGTTTTGAGTTGGCAACATGGTCCACGAGCCCTAGCCTTTGCCACTTGTCATTATCTTGTTTTTATTATTTATTTTGATTTTGATTTGAATTAAATAAATTTAAATCAAAACAAATCATGAAAAAATCTAAAGCATTGAAAACTCAAGATTTTGTACTTGTTTTAGGTCTCAAATCCAGTTGGAAAGCATTTGAAATCGTGCAAAGCGTTGGTGTGGACAAAAAGATTGAATTTGCCTAATTTTAGAAATATATTCAAAGTGAATCAAATCCAAATCAAAGACATTGATGGAGGAAGATTAAGATCAATTTTTGAACCCTAATTCATTCCTCAGTACATAAAGAACGCATGCAGACCTAAAACAAGGCTAGAAGGAGGCGTGAGAACCAGAACCAAACTTGAAAAAAACAAGAAAAGTGTTTAATCAAATTCCTAGTTGCAAGCAATTACATGCCTTCCTGACCATCCCAATCACTTCCTGGGATCCCCAGCAAGCGAAACCAATCAAGAACAAGCATTTCCAGACCCCTGAAAATCGCTGTAAGTCATCCACGATATTGATATATTTTTGAAATTGAATTGCATCATTATGTTACTTATAACACGAAACAATCATAGATTCTTAATCCTTAGAACATTTGCAAGCTATCTGTAATATTTAATTGCATTTATATGGACTGTATGAGATTCCACCATTGCTAGGGTTTTCTGGTTCGATTTGGGATCTTTGCCTACAGGTGAAATTGGACCATGAGAGGGGCACCATTGTGTTCAGCAGGTCCAGACGAAGGTATTCATGGCTTTAGTTTTGATTTATCTTGCTTATAATTGATTTTGAGAATGTGTGGGCTTGTAGCAACGGACAAACGTCCATAGGTAAAAGTCTGGGATTTTTTACCAACGGACCAAGGACAGGGATGATGGTGTGGCATCACCTCACTCGTCCGTTTGAAAATTCGCGCGCATATTTCCTTATTTCGCTTGCTTATTATATAATAATTATTGTTTACGTTATATACAACAAAAACAACTAGCGCAGTTGGTTACAGGGTGAAGGAAAAAAGCATCAGGGTCTGGGTTTGAATCCCAGGTCCCCCCATTCTTCATATTATTTTCCTTTTCAGGATCCAGCGTGCACACAAGCCAAAGGACCATCACGCGTCCTCACAATCTAACCAGCCAAGTGTCAGAGGACTAGATCTGATGGCCATCAGG